CAGGGATAGTGTACCAAAAACATTGCTAACCTCGAGTCATTTGTAAAGTAATGTGTGAGATTGCACATTAAGCCCTATTAGCGACGGCACCATTACTAGTAAATTTCCAGTGCAACATTTTCTAGCTCAACAAAGTGTAGAAATGTGTTCGATCAACTAACATCAACCAACAAAAACAAAAAAAGACAAGGAAACAAGGAGAAATCACTGGAAATGAGCAGCTTCTAGTTTTTCAATTCGTCATTTGACTTGTATAGAGTGCACTACGCATATTAAGTTAGGAATGACTCGACGATATCTTTTCTAACATTGCCTTATTAGAAACAATCGCCCATTTACTCAACAACAATGAAATGTTGGGTTTATGAGCCTTAATTGTGACCAAAAGGCTTGCACATTTGCCCATGTGAACAGTAACGTCGTGGTTTCTGCTAGTGGTGTACCCAAAAAATTTTTTTCAGTGAGGGGGAAGGGGCAGAAAAAAATCTGATGACGTTAGCACGCATCCAGAAAGAATTTTGGGTATGCTCCCTAAACTTTTCGCAAGCCCATAAGCCCGAAATTTCTAAAATGGGGAATGGCGTTAGCCGCTCCCCGAAGAATTGATCTTACAAGACTAAACTTAATTGTCAAAAAATACGAAAAATTATTTCAATTATTTGCAACTATAAACAAGTTATTTGCACATTTTTATAACTATGTAAGTGAATCTCAAGAATTTTGCGGCCCAATTTCTCTGGGGAGGGGGGGGGGGTCGGAAAGGAGTAGTCACGAGTTATTCCATACGCACTGAATGCTAATTTTTTTTATTAATTTTGCGAAAAAGTAAGTCGAGTCTCAACTGCTTGCGGATTTATCTATTTATTTATCTATTTATTTGGTGGCCAGCGATAGTTTAATCGTTCTTATGTAATTTTCCGAACCTGTCTGGGTGAAAACAATTGTTCACGTAGAGAAGTGTGTTCAGAGAAAAAAGTGGGTTTCATTTGATAGGTCTTTCTCAACCTATCTCGCAATTGAGATATAAAGCGCACATATACAAACATTTTTCTTCATTTTGTATGATCTTATCATCACTTCTCGATATCTCTACTACTTCGTAATGTTAAACAGTATAGAATAGATCTCCATTTTCATATCAAGATTTCGGAGTTGTGTTCAGTCCGCACAGAACGTATAAAAGCTCAAGCTTTCTAGCCCTTATCACTTTTAAGTTTCAGGACCCAAGGAAGGCAATAGAGGAAAATGAAAACAAAGCTGCAAACAGGTTGGACCATGAGACGCTGAGGAGGAGGACATCATTTTTTGAACTTTTTGCTCTCTGATGCTCTTACACTCTGTTTTTCGTTTCAGTTACATGTACTTGTGTCTCACAAGGCTAGCAAAGCTTAAGGTATATAGTGTGTGCGGTGCTTACCGCTGACTACATTTGTGCGCGAAAAAAATGTGAGAAAATACAAAACTTAGAAATGTGCGCTCTGGCCATTTGGCACGCGCATGTGGCATTACAGCTTGGCAATTCAACGCGCAAATGTTGTCGTCAATTGCAACATCGCAAAGACTGTATATTTAATTTACTAAGCTGAAGATAACGTACGGACAAGCACAGCAGTTCAAGCTTCCAAAATTATTGAGATTTTATGCAGCCCAATCTGTTTGTTTAAAAAAATCTACTCGAATGTTGCATATACATAGTCTGCTGTATATGCATAAATTGCATTCATTTTTTGATATGGGAAAGCGCCAAGTATTTGAGTGCCCTAAAAGCTTTGGTGGGCTAAAATATGAAAACTATTTTGGCTGCCACTTACAGCTCTGCATTTCCGAATATATTAGAACCGCTGGTCAAGCGCTTCTTCTCGAGTCAAATTGGACTGCATGCAAGAAATTGCTGAAGCTCACTGAAATACTAGAAGCAGTTTTTTACTAGGATCACAGCTCATCTTATGATGTCCCATAGAATGGGACAACTAATTGTATGCGATTGAGAGAAACGCTAATGAGCTTTGAGGAGGATATGTTGAAGCTTGAAGATATTCAGGAGAAATCAGCCTTATTTATTCTGTACTATCATAATCAGTTTTATTTTCTGTGCTGGATTCTTTTGAGAAGTTGAAAGTACGCATTTGATGCAGCTGACTGGGTCATTTTATGGAGATGCTGAAAAACAGAACTCCAGCCAACTCAACGTATAATTTGCCATTACTGAGAAAAAGAGTAGCACTAATGCAGTCTGATAGTAAGATTGTTTTTTCACACTAAGTTATGTTCAACAAAGGTCACTGTTTTACAGGCGAGGAGATTAGGTTCTCTTGGTCATAAGCCGAAAATTCGAGTTTTTTAGCTCAAAACTACAACCTAAAAATTTGCAGTGTTAGTGATAATAGTCTCTTGTCATTTTAATGGTCACAAGACAGACTTAAAAAAGAGGCAGCTGCAAAGTAACTATATCAAAAACTTTTTCACAGATACACGTAAGAAGTCTTAGTTTTTAAAGATCATTTGCGCATGTCTCTTAATTGCCGGTGACCAATACTTCTTCCCATGATTACCATGGGTAACGAAATTGCGTGAGAATTTCGGAGCAGAACGGCTTATGTAGTTGCGAGCTCAAAAATTTCTTGCTTGCAACTACTATATCACAAAAAGCTCATTCTTCTTTATCTGTTTGCGCTAAATCCTAATTTGTGTTCTTACCGCTCAGCCAAACACACCATTATTAAAGGCTATCGAACTGAATATAGACCGCCTTATGAGCTGCTAAATTGAAGACTTTACCTAAACTGATTTCAATATCAAATTGACTGAAGACCAGTGGAGAAAAGGAAGCAGTGTCGTGCACAATTTATTTAGGTTGTGCAATAACTTTTAGCATTTTTCAATTAATTTTTTGTTCATTGTTTTATTCGAGATTCGGTATTCTGCGTATATCTTTTGAAAACTCTCACCGTGCCCTATTACATTCTTTGTTTCAGTATACTAAATCTGTGGATTGAGGTGGCGTAAGATTTTCGTTCGAGGAGGATTCTTATGAAACAAATTCGAGATTTGCTTGAGTAGAGATAGGGCCAAGTTTATGGAGTCCGCTCAGCACTTTTAAATCTTTAGAGTTCGATTTGCAAGCTCAAATGGTCTCCTTTTAACGTCTCTTTATTGTCGACGTTGGGCATGTGAAGGCTTTGATGAGAGAGGGTAGTCAAAGGACTAGTGAGGAATTGGCAGAAATATGGCCTGTAGTCACAAATTATTGTGTTTATGGTTTACTACCGAATCAGAGTTGAGCACATAACTCAAGCGCGTAAGGCCTAAGACATACCTCGCCCGATTTCGTCAAATCGTTACAACCACGCAACTCGGCAATTTGCCAGATATTTACAAATCAACCGTGCGCGGGTCATATATGCATAGGCGCGTAGCTTCCGTAAAAGTTAAAGCAAAAGCTTCAAGTCTGACCCATGGAAAGCGCGTTGACGACCAGTTATGAAGAGCCGCTGAAGTACTAAATCGCGCAGCGACTAGAATCGCGTGAGGTATGCCTTAAGCCTAGGACGGCGTCGGCGTCGTCGCGAGGAAGTCTTGCCCCGCCAACTTTGTGAAACTTCGGCATTAGACAATTTGTGAAAAGAAGAGAGCAAGCATAGATAGTGATGGTAGCCAGGTAAACGATTAACCGGCTCTTCTCTCTGTTGTCACTTTTGTTGGATAAATTTTATCATTGAAAACGGAAAAGCTTAAGACAAGAAACATGTCGATTTTGACTTCCGTCCCTTAATTTTTTTGGGAAGCAAAAAGTTCCTTATTGAAATTTCAGGAAATGATGCAACTTATAGAACAGATTTAGATCGGTTAGAAGCATATAAATACTCTGCAATCAACGAGCAATTTACGAAAACTCTCTGCAATCAATGAGCAAATCACAAAAACTAAGACAAAAAAGCGAACGAACTCAACTACAATTTGATAGCTTTCTTCTTCGTTGTGGTGTTCAACGTTGGTGCTCGGTTGAAAAAAAATTGCGCATTACGTCAAGAACATGAAAAAGTTTTCCTAGTATACACATGCTCGCCAGGTGATCGTTGACCCCGAAAAATAGGGTTCACAAACACAATTCACAGAAGTCAGGATATCGAGCTGTGGGTTTGGTTAATATTTCTCTTTTTCGTTCAACCCTGAGATCGAGAAAAGTTTTTTTGTTTTAGTTCAAATCTCTTAGGTCAGCGCTTTTCGCTTAATGCAACTTGATCCTAGTCTCTCAACAGAAGAAATATATTTAGTTGTTTTTGCACGAGTAGACAAACATTCATCTGAACCATAGGTATTTAACGTAAGGATGTAGACTAATATATTATATATTGTTCTTAGATTAACAGGCAAAATTCGATAAACATGACTGCTGCTTTCCACATTTTCAATACATTCTGGACCACGTATCTCATGTTGGGAATGCAACCACTGCGTAGGTCCCGAAGGCCTCACTTGGGGAAGCCTGGCTCTAGTTTAGTTGCACTCACAATGAGTTGGCGACTATTCATGAGGTAGAATAGGATTGAGGTTTTATTGCGCTAAAGCCAAGAATAAAATTCAAGGTGGCAATTATGCGTGGTTTTCAATGAAATGATTTGAATTAAGGCTTGGTACTAGACAGCTAAAAAAACCTGCGTGGACGTCAGCGTATAATAGGCCCTTCTGCTTGTACGTCACTAGGCTGAACCTCCATTATAATGGCTAGAAGTCATGCATTTTGTAGTGTTCTCAAGTGCAGTTGAGCTCATTGCAGACTTCCAATATCTGGTGGTAAAACTAATTTCGTGGTTGACTAAGCTTGTTAGTTTCTTGTTTCGAGTGTTTCTATATTTTATGACGAGACAAAATGCAAGTGAAATATAATCCAAAACTAAACCATTCTTTTTGCACTGTCAGGACTAAGTTTTGCAAAAGTATGTGAAGCACAACATGCTCCATTACACTCAACTATGTTTTTGGCATGCTAAGTGCCAAGAATGCTGTGAGTTTTGAGACGTTATTGATGGGCAAATATTAATCAAAACTTACATCTCTCGCGATCAATATAGGTTCTGCTCTCTAGCAATTTTTCGCGTCTATTCACATCAGTAGATGTGATTTTTCATCATCCCTATTTTTGTCTTTTATGTCATCCATTAGAATCCAACACTAGTAAGTGGTGTTATGTCGCTGTCCTTAGCGATGTCAGAGCTTCGCTTTCGTTTCGCTACTCACGTCTTGTAATCAGTGTTAGAAAATGACTTTTATATTCGTCCATTCACTTCCATCTTGTGACATTGCTTGATTCGCTATTCTTAGCTCTACTCGTACAATTATTTGCGCGTGTATCATCAAGCTCCATACGAATATAAGACCGGCTCATCCAGCGGTCAAGCTTGATATTGTTTTCTTGGTTCAGTAATATTGTAGCTTACAAGGGAATGGTCAGAAGTCGAAGTGGCCAATCCATACAAGCTGCATATCAGTAAATGCAGCATAAATTGGTGACTCTAAATCTGTCTTCCTTATCTGCAGAGCGCTTTTGTGGACGAAATTATAAGCCGTTGAAGGCCATTATTTTGCTAAGAAATTGTGCGTGTAAAGCGCAAACTTGGCCGTACAAAGCCATTCTTGGCTCAGTGTTGGACCAAAACATGCAGATAGGTCACTTCATATGACCCGTACGTAGAGTTGAGCTGAAAGGGCAATAATGTGCCTAATTTCGCAATTTTTGTATACGGAGTTTTCGCAGTAAAGCTGCTCATAACTTCGCCTACAAAGGCGCTCTGCAGGTATGGAAGACAGATTTGAAATCAGCATTTTAACCTGCATCGAATGGTATGCAGCTTGTATAGATTAGCCACTTCGACTTCTGACCATTCCCTTGTTAGCTGAAAAATGTGAAATCTCCTGTTTTGCTTTTCGGTAAAGATTCATAATATTTCTTTAGCTTTGTCGCGTGCTGCACGCGGATAGAGGCTCATAGATTTGCCCAGCATGTATCTTTATAGTGACCGCTTCTCTCAGGTAAAGATTTCGCTGTATAATCGAGCTAGTTTTAGACTTTAAGATCAGATTTGGAATCTTAAGAAGCATTCAAAACAAAAAATTTGACTATTTAATAATTTGCGTCAGTTTGCGTTTTTTCTGTCACGAACATTGCTTTTTGCACTTACTTCTCTAAATAAAGAGCGATTTGGGATATTGATAGTGCTTTTTGTAGAGTATGCTTACGGCATTCTGTGACATTAAATTCAGACCAAATTTCTCATTTCCATTGTTGTGGCATTCTTTGAATATTTTGGCGCAAATAATTTTGGCGCACCCTGTAATAGAGTATCCATGACTTTATCTCAAGATGGTCATTTTAACCATTTCTGTCGTGAAAACTACCTATTACACTATTATGACTACTCAACTGTCGTCTCACTAGTGCTTAGACCGAGTGGCATGTCACTCATACAGTACCCAACCATTATATGTAGTTCGTCTCACAAAATCTCGAGTCAAAGCTTTTTCTTTTTGCATAGGCGATGAGCTTCTGTCAATGCAAAACCTCAAACTTTTATGTCATTGTCCAGAAAGTGAAGATTTCGAGGTATCTTGCATGAGCAGTAGCTTGCGCATGTGCCAACTCTCAAATAACAAATGAAACCAATGTAAATGATTATTTAATAATCTTATATTAGGTTGTCCCGAAAGTTTTGTCGGTTTCTTTCGTCGATCACTGAAACTCACAGAACACCAATCCATGGGCAAACTAGATACCATTTGATTCCGATTTTTGTCCTCTTTCATCTTATATATGAAGCTGAATGTCTGTTTGTCTGTCTGTCTGTCTGTATGTATGTATGTATGTATGTATGTGTGTACGTATGTTCCGAATAGAAAATTCCATTTCTGAACCGATCCGGACCAAACTTGGCACACATACACTTCGGGCCGCGGCGGGTGTCATAGGCTACTTTTCGTCATCGATCGATATCGATTTTATCGATTTTTATCGATTTTTTTGCTGAGTTCACCTACAGGGCTGGGAGTTGGCACAGGGGGGTAATCGAGCATGGGGATCCCGAATACAATATTGGTTTTCAGGATTATCGATTACTTTTATCGATTTTATCGATTTTTTGCAAAGTTTGAGCTACGGGGCTGGGAGTTCGCACAGGGGGGTAATCGAGCATGCTGATCACCCCCAAGGGGGGTGATCAGCATGCTCGATTACACCCCTGTGCCAAATTCCAGTCCCCTAGCTCAAATTTTCAAAAAATCGATAAAATCGATAAAAGTAATGGACGATCTTGAAAACTAATATTGTATTCGTAATCTGCATGCTCGATTACCCCCCTGTGCAAACTCCCAGCCCCGCAGGTCAAACTTTACAAAAAAATCGATAAAATCGATAAAAGTAATCGATAATTCTGAAAACTAATATTGTGTCCGTAATCAGTATGCTCGATTACCCCCCTGTGCAAAATCCCAGCTTCGCATGTCAAAATTTACAAAAAAATCGATAAAATCGATAAAAGTAATCGATAATTCTGAAAACTAATATTGTATTCGGAATCCCCATGCTCACTTCCCCCCCCCCCCCTGTGCCAACTCCTAGCCCTGTAGGTGAACTCTGCAAAAAATCGATAAAAATCGGTAAAATCGACATCGATCGATAACGAAAAGTGGACTGTGACACCCGCCTGGGCCCGAAGTGTATGTGTGCCAAGTTTGGTCCGGATACGGCGGAGCCGGGTAAGCCAGCTAGTATAGCTATATTTTCTCTCTGATCTACCCTGTCTTTGCAATGTTATCGCCATGTATTTTTGAGCAGCTTAGCATTAACGTCAAATCTTTCCTGAATTGCAAAAATTTTTATACTAATGTAACAAAGACCGCTGGTGACTGTTATGTAGAGCAAACTTTTGGCTACATTGTGTTTCTTTTAGATTATATGAGCCACGTTTACCAAGTCCGTTATAATTAATTATTTAATAAAAACCGCGACTTTTTGCTTACATTTACCGCGTAAAAGTACCGAAAATTCCAAAATGCTGCTTTTTCAAGGCAAATCAAACTTGGTCATGTTGCATAAATGATTTTTAATAAGAATCACCCCTCAATTCGCAGAAACTCTGAAAATTTCTGTGTATTTGCTGCAGTTGCGTGTTCTATAACTTTGCCAAAAATCGAGACCTCTTAAGAAATAATTTTTTTCAAGGTATAAACAGCAGATTAGGAGAATCTAAAAATGTAGCCTTGTAGTCCGAGAATTGCTCTATCAAAATCATATTCAAACAAACTTTAGTATGAAATTTTCAAAAATTAGCTGATCTTTGACCAGATAAGATTGGCGGATGGAAAATTTTAACAAATATCGAAAAAAGCATACAAGATTGTGGCTCGCGAATGTATCAATAAGAAAGAGAAGGAAAAGCTGCATCGAATGCATGTTGAAACTCATTCAGGTGTTTATTGAGTGTGGTTTTATAGTGGTTTGAAAAAACCGACAAAACTTTCGGGACAACCTAAGATATAAAGCCGAATGTCTGTTTGTATGTCTGTATGTTTGTATGTACGTATGTTCCGAATAGAAATTTTTAAAAAACCGATCCGGACCAAACTTGGCACATGTACACTACGGGCGCCGGCGGATGTCATAGGCTACTTTTCGTCGGCGATCGATATAGATTTTATCAATTTTATCGTTTTTTTTGTAAAGTTTGGCCTACGGGGCTGGGAGTTTGCAAAGTGGGGTAATCGAGCATGCTGATTACGATTACAATATTAGCTTTTGAAACCGTCCATTATTTTTATCAATTTTATCGTTTTGCAAAGTTTGAGCTACGGGGCTGGGAGTTACAGAGGGTAATCGAGCATGGGGATTCCGAATACAATATTAGTTTTCAGGAATATCGATTACTTTTATCGATATTATCGATTTTTTTGCAAAGTTTCAGCTACGGGGCTGGGATTTGGCACAGGGGGTAATCGAGCATGCTGATTACGAGTTCGGTATTAGTTTGGCGCTAGGCTATCCGGGCCCCAAAATTTTTTGCGGTAGAGCTTGCTCAAACTTCATGTATAAGAATTATCTAAAAGGCCGGACATACTCCGAGCGATTTCAATCGCGACGCGACTTGGCAATATTCCAGGTGTCCATAACTCATTGTAAGCACATCATAAATGTACAGAAGATAGGGCATTTCATCAGTTTACGTAAGTTATACACACTATGCACGTGCAGTTTGCTTAATGTTGGATCCGAAGACTTTTGGCGAATTGCCAAATCGCGTCGCGACTGAAATCGCGTGAAGTATGCCCGGCCCTTTACATGCTGATTACAGATATCACACTTTCTCCGCAGAACGTCTTCCCATGTGGTTACGATAGGTGTATGGTAGGAAGTCAAATTCATGAATTCGGCCGGAGTTCGGCCCATATGGCTTATTCGACATGCTAATTACGAATATCATCTCTCTCTGCACATTGGGACCTTTTCATAGAGATATAGTGGTTATACGGCATGGGGTCGAAAACATATATTTGCTTTAAACTTCGTCTAGGGTGGTCATTTAGCGCTCTGAACATGAATATCCTGCTGATTTTGCGGGATAGTGCATTTTCTTGTGTTACGGTGGTGCAGATGGGTCGAAGCTCCAGATTTGCTCAAAACCTTGCCTGTAACGGTCCACAAATATATCGCTTATGAATATGATGCTTGCTTGCTGTCATAACGCAATAGTGAAGTTATGGTTAGTTGCAGGGTTTGAATGGACATTTTTTCGCTTTCGGGCCAATTTAGATCTTAGATATTCACGAAATGGGAAACGGTTGTTTTGCATGGCGGTTTCCAGCGCCATCCTGATAACCTGTCCCAACGCGTAACGCACGCGGCAAATCTCCCTCCTCCTGTTTTTGCTTAGGCAAAAGCCGCCGAAGGGTGTATCGCGCGTGGCAGTGGTCCTATAAGGAAAGCATTACGGTCGCGGGAAACTTTTATACCACACG